GCTCATCATCCACGCCTCCCGCTGAACGCGTAGCGCTACTTTGAAGTTTGTTTTTCGCGCTACTTTGTACGGCACTACGTTGCCTGGCAGACGGACATGTGACCAACATACCACTCTTGAACCCCGATCAGGCAACGTAGTGCCGTACAACAGCGGAACAAACAAAACAAATCGTCTTACGATATGACAAAAATCATGGACAATCCATAGAAAAGCCGCACCTGACTAAAAGCCGCAGGGTTCAAAGCTTGTGCAAAAAGTAGTGGCTTATAGCCCGACAATTACGGTAATATATGATCCAACTGCGTCAGCCATGGAGTGAAAGGTGCCATTTTAAAACTGTTTTGGACTGAAAAGCTCAATCAGGCTTTCTGGAAAACGCTTGGTTCCAAGTAAAGAAGGCAATAAAAATGCATGGTATTGTACACTGACTGGATATTTTATAAGGTACATGTTGCTGGTATCAGTCTGGATCCTCTATTGCCTTTGTGGCATAGATTTAACAAGGTGCTGGAAACGTTCCTCAGAGATTTTGGTCCATATCAGCATAACAGCATCATACGGTTGCTGCAAATTTGTCAGCTGCACATTGCTGACTGAGATCAAGATTGTGGAAGCCATTTGAGTGCAGTTACTTTCCAGAAACCAGTTAGAGATGATTTGAGGTTTGTGACAGGTATATTAATCCTCTTGGAAGCAGCCATCCAATGATGGGTACTAACATGTGAATTTTTCAGCAGAAAATGATAAAGAAGAAGAATTATTAAATATCAGATGTCCAATTTAAGTGATTCTGTGTGAATTGTAGCCTAGCTGACAGGAGTAACATTAATGTGGTCGTCTGCTGCTAATGGAGGCCCCATACTTCAAGGTTCAATGCTGTTGTACATTCAGAGATTTGTTCTACTACTAGTTTTTGCACCATTCACTCTAAATTCCAGTGATGGTCGTACAGGAAAATCTCAGTAGATCACCAGTTTCTGAATTACTCAGGACAGCCTGTCTCACACCAAAAACCATGTCACATTCAAAGTCACTTAAATGAACTTTCTTTGTACTTTTGATGCTTGGTTTGAGTCAAAAGTGGGAAGAAAGGTCCCACTTTTCTTCCCATCAAGATGTCAGCAGGTCATCTTCACCATGTCTACATGTGATTGACTGAATAGTTATTTGTGTTAAGAAGGAGTTGAACAGGTGTACCTAATAAAGTTTTCCATTAGTGTATACATATGCTGAACACATTATAGTAGATGTGAAATTAAGAAATGAAGAATATCACACATTCAGATACTGATGATAGGTATGTTATCGGACCGATATAGAGATATGTTCCCTGAGCTACATCATAACAATGCATATAAATAGAGATACTGCCAAACCTTCACCATGTTCTTAAACAACTTTGGAGATGACCTGAGATAAATATAGCATATGCTGTATATTTTATTATGGCTTTAGTTTATTTTATATTTAGCTCCTGTTAAGCAACATTCAAAAGGAATGCTTATTTAATCAGAGCCAATTGTTGTAACATTAGTCACAACTGGTTTCTTTAAACTTTTTCTGTCAGAATGTAATTTTTGGGGGATTTAAGAGATAATCTGACATATTTAAATAGCACTTGTGATGAATTACAATTATTAAATCATGAAATGAGCTCAGGGTTTTAATCACAAGTTGACAGTTGAGCTTGTTTTAAGACAGCCAGCCTGCAAAATATTTAGTGTCAAAATGATTACTGGATATTCATTAATATATGCAATAAGACATTTGTCTTTTTTCTGCATGCATAATTTCACACTCAAAGCAATTAAATCATTACAGGCTGAAAGTCAGATATAATCTTTTATATGACTAGAATAAATATAGAAATACAATTATCATGAGAGTCTGCACTGTCAGTTGATAGTTGACTACTTTGTAAGCAAAAAACAATTATCGTATCTGTAACAGACAATGTGATTGTACACCACTGAGGTCACTGATACAAGATGGAAACTGCAGCATCTGATGAACGAAATGTTTCGCATGACTGATCAGATTCGTATACCATGTTGCCATCTCATCCTCAAGGTTTCTGCATTAAGGTTAAGTGAGAGGAGGCTTGAATCACAGCCTGCCTTCGAATAGGCTTGCATTTGACTTCCAAAGTGCAAGAGAGAAGCAAAACAAAGGCAAGCAATGGCAGGAGAAAGACAAACAAACAACGAACAAATATTCCCACAGGAAGCAAAATTGTCGAGTGGGATATGCTGAAGGAGCCAGGAGGACTCAAGCTGGAGCACTTCTGGAGATTAATAGAGGTTATCTGGAAGTGTGTTTTGGGTTTGAGGGTGTGGTGGACCTGAAGTGGATGGTAGGTGAGGAGGGGGGACACAGTAGGCCCTTAGCCATCCATCACGGTCCACTGTTTGACTCACCAAACGCCTGTAGTTGAGCTGCCTCTTCCATTATTCATGCCTACAGGAGGCTGGGATGAAGCAGAGCTTTTTATTTTAGCCGGGTTAATAATTCATGCCCTCTCACACAGCCATGGGAAAGCAGAAACAGAGGCACAGACGAGCAGGGGTCCAGGTGGCTAGTAGAACCCGTCAGAACCTCGACTCTTTTTTGATTAGGGAGTCAGCGGGGGTCGCTCCATGCTCATGGCCTTGCTACCTCCCACAGAGAGCAAGCCAGGGACGGCTTATGTTTGCTAGAGGGCTCTGTACCTGAGTATCTCAACAGTTAACATCATTCTGAGGAATGAAGGGAGGGTTTCCTGAGGACTGAGCTCAGGTTCTTAAGTGTGGCATTGGTGCAGTAAATGTTTCTGTGAAGTCTATTACTCTCTGAATAGAAATCCCAACAAATGAAACTGGAGCATATCCAAAAATAGTATTTCAATGATACAAAATGTAAGCCTTTTAAGTCTTGGTTACAACTTAGGTTGAAAGACATAAACCCTGGTGAAAATTATTATATTTTACACTCCATTTTTTAGATAATACGTGATTTGGGTAAAGTGTAAAAAGTCCAATAACAGTCATAATTACATTAATTTAAGTAAGTCCGTGTACAGAACGGGAAAGGTCAGAGATAGCCTGGTTTTACAGTACACTGCATATTGGTTTATTTGAACTTAGGACTTGCAAATTTACAGTTTGTTTTGGCTTCACAGCTTTTATCGGTGTCTTTACAAAACCAGTGGGCAGAAATGCTTTAGAGAACAAAAGATAACCCCACTGTTGTTTACAATACTGCTTTAAGACTGAGCTCAGTTTACACTCTTCAGTCTGTAAGTTATTTTTCATATTTGGAACATTAAGGGTCCAGAACAGACTTTGCAGTACATGCCTCCTACAGTACTTATTGCCCAGCAGTGTTGCTTCGATTAAAAAGAAGTGTCAATTCAGTTATGATGAAGCCACATCAGTAAAGTAGATGTCTTAACACCTC